GAAGCCAGATTGTAATGTAGCTGAATATATGAAAACATTTATCAGAATGCTCATAACATGGACATTTCCAAATATGCTGTATTCAACTACTGAGATGCGACTAGAAATCACTTGTATGCATGTATAAAAAAAATTAACTGCTGTTGATTTTTCCAATTCTATAACATCTGCTGTGTATTTTTTTTCTTGTCCTAAATTTCTACTTCAGGAGAGTTTGAGTACATTAGATTATGCCCATCGTGCCAAGAATATCACAAATAGACCAGAAGTGAACCAGAAAATGACAAAGAGGGCCTTGATTAAGGTAATAATTACTAGATGCATGAGAAAGTTATTGGGCTGACACGTTTACTTCACCCTGATTACACAGGGTTTGTGATCGATAAATACACTAAAGGAGGGGTGAAATCACATGGTGCTCATTACTACTTTGTCTCAAGTTTTGTAGAAAACTTATCAATTTCGAATTTAACTAAAGAAGATGGGTAGCTTGATGAAAAAGCTTCCAAATTTCAGATGAATAGTGATATTTAGCTCCCCTTTGCACATTGAATGTTAATTTAAAATATTATACTTCCTAAATTATTGTCAATTTCATCAAAAATTAATAAACAAGCTAGTACATAATAACTTACAAAACCTGAAACTCCAACTTTTTTGGAGAGATTAACTCACTGGATGTTACAATTTTTTATTTCTAGGAATACACTGAAGAGATTGAGAAATTAAAACGTGATTTGCACGCTGCCAGAGAAAAACATGGAATATTTATGTCATCAGAGTCCTACAGGTGAACAAAATTTTCTTTTTCAGTGTGCTATTTATTAGTTTAATCATGAAATCATCTAATAATACTTTTTAAACAATGCAGCTCTGTATTACAGTGTGTGATATGCAAACTACGCTCATTATGATATGCAAATTATATACTTTATGCTAATGATATGCAAAATATGTGTGTCTGTGTGCTTTATGCTAATGATATGCTAATTTTTCACACTGAATTTTCTGTTCTATAGTTTTGGGATTGATACAAAGTCTCAGCAATGTATGCAACATTGTAAAATGCATTATTTCTAAATAGAATAAAAACATAACATGTAAGACAACTGCAACTTTAATAATTGGTGTACATTTGTTTTTTTAAAACAGTGCCATGGAACACAAGATGGAGAGCCAAGTGCAGACAATCACAGATTTAGAGCAAAAAATAGCAACATTTGAAGAGGAAGTCAAAAAGGTGGGAGCCATGTACATTTTACCACCTGAAGTTTATCTCTTACCATTATCTTTTGCCTTCTGTCTGGTTCATTTCCACAAATTAGCAGAAACCTGTTATTAACCTGGTTTTCTTTTTAGGTTTCCTCATCTTAATATTTTCCCCGCCAGACTTTCTCGCCCAAATTTTTCTACAATGTTATTCTTCAATATTTCTGGGAATGAACTCTAATTATGAAGCCAACAAACAAAATTTGGGTCAATTCGGTGGTGAAAAGGTTAAAAAGGTCGTAGGGCAATGAGAGCTATTTCAAGTTTTTTCACCACTGAGCCTGTTCATGCACTGTATGCAAAGCATTGTATACAGTATAAAACTAGGATCACCCTTTTATGTATTCAGAGCACATCGATGTGAAGATTTAAAAAAAAAAAATACACAACATCGCGACTGTGTTTGTTCCGGTCTGTTGTACCAATCGGTTGCAACCCCTTTATGCTGACCGTCAACAAACCTTTCAAGGACTCGCTCAAATCTAACTTTCAATTGTTGTGCACTGACTGTATTTTAAAGAGACTACAGGCGGGAGCTGTTATTTCTGATGTCTGCATTACGGACGTACTTTGAAGCCCTCGGGAATGTTCGGAAACCAAAGGTCTTTGTTTAAAATGGTGTCACTGGAACTTAAGTTGTGTACGCATTTCGCAAAGGCAAAGCCTGATGATTTTAATTCAGTGGAAATAAATGAAGATGAAAAAGTCGTGATATATTTTGTCTCAAAACCGAGACGCCTGAATAATAGCGAAAGATGTACCTGGATGTCTTGCAATACCATTAACGACAATAGTTCAAGTTGCTGTTGTCTACTGCATGCGCGGAGTACTCAGGAGGGACATTGTTTTAACACCATTGCAAAGATCGTAAAGTAGGTTTCAATTTAAACTAAAACATAAGTGAGCTAATTTGGTGCAACCCTGCAAAAACAGCAGTTGAAATAACCTATAGAAGTTCCTCGGAAAAACAACATAACTTACTGATAAATCGGCCGATTTAAAAAAAATCAAACATGAATAAACTTGTCATAACAATGGCATTCTTTCTAGACGCATCACGCAAGTAAATTTACTCTCATTCTCGTAAAACACCGCATAGCATCAGAGGGAAAACAAAAAGATCCGCCCTTCATCAAGAGGACAGTGAGCGCTCGCGTCGGAAATGATCATGGGTATCAAAGGACATTTAAACAGACAAGATAGGAGGATTAAAACAATGAGTAACAAAGGAAATGTATTAGGCATAAACCAGTTGTAACTCCTTCTGTCTTTTACCTCCATGCCTATACAATGACTTACTTTCACTCGTATCAGCTTTATCCAGTCCGTATTTTGCATAGTTTTTATTTGTGACTTTAAGGCTGGCAATACAAAACCAACATTTTATCCCTGTCCTCTTCCAAACAACTTTGTTTCCCGTGCATCAGTTTATTAAAAAGGGATAAACAAATTATTTTTGTTGTTGTTATTTTTCAGATTGATGTACTATTTCAGGAATTACAACAAACAAAATATAAGTTGGAGACTACAGCAGTGAAATTAGGACAAACGAGACAGGTAATAAATATGTAAACTACTCTTCCGCAAAGTGTTCATGGCGAAGGAAACTACTTAAATGTTTTTTTTTTGACAGGATTTTAAAAAGCTGATTTGTTGATCCTCTCAGTGGTGTTTACAAAGCTCAAATTGGCTACCTATGAGGTTATTATGAGAATACTGCAAAGTATGCACATAGGCAGTACGGTGATGGTATCTGCACACAAGTAGCAGATGTTGATACATACACATACTCGCTGTTGTATTCTTGTGATAATCTTATTATTAAACCCCTTTTCCTACTTTTAATAATAATTTATTGAGAGCTAACAGCCCGAAATAGCAACGAGAAAAACATTTTGCGATGTGCAAACATTTACATTCGTGGACAGAATTCTATTTCCGCTGCATGCTAATAGCACTTCTGCATTCGATGAGTGTTTAGTGTGGTGTAAACGTGATATGCTTTTTCCAAATTCGGAAGATATTAAATGCTTCCATAATCACTTTTGAATGAATTCCATCATTTCCAATTTCAGATGTATAATAATGAATTGTATCACTGTAATCAAATTCTTATACTTTATTGTATGTATTTTGTACATTACTTTATGGACTTTTTATTATTTTATTTACAGCAAAATTGCCTTTCCTATCCTTTTACACATCGTCTGTGTTAGTGGTATTAACACATTGTTTTAATAATACTTTCAAGTTGTATAGTATATATTCAGTTCATTTGACTTCATCGTCATTATCTTTGCCTTTTGAAAATGGCCGGATAGTGAAAAAGAGCTTTCCTAAAATCACTGATACAAGTTATGAGAATGATTTAAATGTCTCAAGAAATAATTTTGCATGTGTAGAATTTAGAAAAAAAAAGTTTTTTTTTTAGTAGAATTTTACACAAATGATTTGCTCACTCACATTAACAAGCCCGGTCTGCAACACAAGCTGTTTTGATATGTCCCTAAAATAATTCATTGTATGTAACTTTGTTTTTATTTGCCAGAACCTTCTTGAAACTACCATTGAGAGAGATAAACAGATGCATTTGGTGGACACGCATGTCAAAACAGAAGGGGAACTCTATGAGAAAGCTAACCAGGTTGGTGTTTATC